CATGATATTTAAAAGGTAACATTAAAACTGTTGCCAATCTAACACACAAGTCTGAGGAATGACCATTTACCAGCCTTTATAATCCATTACATGAGGTGATCTGAGACAACCAGAGTACATTACATTTTTTAAAAATACCCATAGCATATAAGTGGTGAGCAAAGAAAAATCTAATTTAAATGCATTAAGATAAATGATTACAACTGAATGCTTAAAAAATTGCCTTTTTAATAAAAATTGTAACATTTCTCATTTCATCTGGCATTAAGAGAAATCTGAACTACTGTTTCTTAGTTCAATAAGGAAGAACCTGGAAAAACAATGAATCCTTTATAAATATCAGAGACTGGATGTAAACAGAGTTAAAAGTGAACAGTAGGGAAAAAAACACTTATGAATATTTGTTCTCTTCTGGACCACGGCTTTTTAAATTTACTTTCATAATTTCAGATGAAGACTGATTTAGCATGGTTTCTGCACTGATCTCTTTAAGTCAAACACTTTCTATGTGTGTTCAACTTGTCCAATGCCACTGTCAAGAATAATGTGCTTAAGAAAAGGTACAGCACAGAGCAAGAAAAGACTACCACAGGACCAGGAATATAGATTTCACTGCCAAAAAAAAAAAAAAAAAAAAAGCCATATTTGATATTACAGACACATGTTTCTATTTTTCACATCAGTCACTTATTAACACCAAACATTACACTTTAACTTCCCCCAATTACACAGTACAATAAGCCTGTCAGGGTTTCCAGGAAAGAACCATCAGTACCTACCGTGCCTCCAGCAGCCCAGACAAAGCTGGCTGGGGACCAGAAGCCAACACTTTCAGAAGAATGGCATCACTAGATCACACGGACTCATATTAACTAGTACAAGGAGCACTGAAAAAAATGTCATTTACTCATTTACAAAATCCTACTTGAGTCCTGAGCTGCAGTGCTGTGATTATCCACGGCCCCACCTCCGAGCCGTGTTCCGTCCGTCACACTACCTCACCGCTTGCTGGCTCTGCGCTAAACTCTCTCGTGGCTTCCAAAGAGAAGGAAAGACAGTGCAACCGAGTGATAACAGACCTCTGCTTCTGCCACCCGGTGGGGGGGTCACCTTGCTGGGGCTCCATCCTGGCTCACGTGGCTCTTGGTGCTTTCTGCCAGATCTCTTCTTGACATGATCTCTGAGAAGGACACCTATTTACATTTCCTCCTGTCATGTTGAATATGTAATGAGCCACACATATGAGAAAACTACTTTAAAATATCACTGTTTTTCAGCTAAGAGAATTATGGATGCAATTTAGAATCTGAATTTATTAGAAAAATGATATGAGGTAACTTAGGAAAGTTTTCTTGTAATTACTAAATGAAAACTATTGGATAGCTTTTTATCTCTTCTGCTTTTATGACAGTAGTCATCACACTAATAGGGTAGACATTCCAAATACATAATAGGATGTATCCTCACCAATCAGGCACCAGAACAACTTTATATATGTCTGTGTGTATATGTAAATATATATGTATAGTGTACATACACACACATACACAGTTTGTTACTGGTTAAAGTAAATGCTCTAATTGGAAAAATGAAATCTAATATGAGAAATAGATCTAGTGACATGCTGAGGTTAAATTTTAGTTCTTTATGTGGACTACCTATTGTTAGCACTCAATTAAAATTAACTCTTGGATTCTGAGGGCAGATAAATCAGTAATTAGTCTTTTCCCGACAAAGGACAGCAGTACTTTCAAAAGCTTTAATAGACCTAATGATGCAGTTTAGTGCAGGACTGGAAAAAATATGTATGTGGCCCACATATTAGAAAAAACTGCCTTCTTCTAGAATTTAAGATTTCCTCAAACATTTCACATAAAACAGGTCATACTCTCCTGCTGACTACATTTGAGAAACAGTAAAAGCAGCATAAAAAAATCTAAACTTTCAAAATACCTGACTAAAAGCAAAGATTCTACTTTTAGGCAAGATGAGTTTATAATTCTGACTTATAAAACAAAAAAAATTTCCAAAAGCTTATTTTAATTGTGAGATTTCACATAACCTAAATGATAACAATGCATAATATAGATGTCAAAGTTGAATAGTAAAAAAATTTTTTTATAATTACCTTTCATGCATTTAGCTGAACATGAAACTTTTTTCAAGAAGCCATAGGCTTTTGTCCAACTCAAAGACTAGCACAGATTTTCAATGAATAAAGTAAAAAATGATGAAATTTATGAAATACTATACTATAAGGTCAAAACCATGATGATGCATCAATAAATATACTTCCATAAGGTACCTAATGGTCTCAAGAGCAGAGCCAGGTCCTAAAGTTTACTCTGCTTCTCTCTCTCCCAACCCTCAGGGATTGTGCTATTACTTTTTCTTTTAGGATTTGTACTGGAGGGCCTTCTAGTTTATTCTAAAATACACTTATAATACTTTAAATCGCAACTTAGCCCAGATTCTCAAATCAAGAGAGAGGTTTCAGTGCATATTTTATGGCTATATTGCATAGCCTTTATTTCAGAACTTCTGGGGGAAATTCTGATAATGAAATTTCAAGATGATAGGACTATAAAGAACTTTTCTCTCTAGAAATGATTTTACACTTTAGAGATCATATTCACTTCCCTGGCAATAAGTAAAGACATTATGAAAGAGAGTAAAACTTCTGAGTGGTCAGGTGCTCATAAAGGACATTATTGCGGCATGCACAATACTAGGTATGCGATGTGACACGGCCATCAGCAGGAGCTAAAGAAACCCCATGGTGTAGAGATTGGTGGGTCAAACTCATTAATACTAAGTAAGCAAAGAAAATCACCAGGCAAAAACAGTGCTTATGAAAGATGCGAATTCAGAGAGCAAGGACCTTGGCACCTTCCTGGTAACCTTTCCCCCAACCCAACGGTATTCTGCCATCTCCTTCTAGTCAGTGAGGATTGTGCTTAGGCTCATGAGGTCTTCATGGGAGAGGCCAGGCTGACTGCAAACTACTGACCACCAAGGAGTTTACCCCGGCAAAGCTGACTTCACAATTTCAGAAATGTATTACGGAGCAGTCACAAAATCCAGCCACGAATGCGAGGGATGGGAAAGGCATGCCCGTGAGCTGGTCCCTACCATTTGCAGGATCCTTCATCCTCTCGGTCGCGTCCTTTGTCAGGAGTGAAAAGTCTGACAAGCCAGAGATGGCATAGCAGTACACAATAATTGCCTTTTTTTTTTTTTTTTTTTAATCACTGTAGGCAAGGGTCCCTTGCTATAGTCATACCGCATAATAGCAGGGCCCTTTTCAGATGAAAAGTGAACAAGTTTCCCAGTGTTGGCCTTATAAAATCTAAAGAGATGATTAAATTCAAACCAGGCTGAGCTCTTAATAGGAGTTATTTCAGCCACTGATTTTTGTAAAATGAAGGGAAAAAAGAATCCCAATAGGCAATTTGCATTTGCAAGCACTGGATTACAGAATCCACCACTAAATTTTCTTAAAAATGTAGCTAAATCTTAATGGAGTTATAATACCTTCATGAGGTTAATAATGTAGTCATCCCTAGTCTTATTTCATTCTTCCATTTTTTTTTTTTTTACCATTTCAAATATTTCAGTATAGCCCACCACAAATCACTGAAAATGATCATTTATGTTCATTCCACTTATTTCTCTAGTGAGCCAGATGACTTTGATCACGGCTCCAAGTACCATTTGAAAAGTCTTTAAAAACCTTCAATATTTTAAACACTTGATTAGAAAACAGATAACTACGTGTAATTACCTAGCTTATGTGCTTTATGTTTTTTCAAAATGAGAGTATAAATCATTGTACATAAAATCAAAATAGTTAATATACATTTTTTTTCTGGCAGTTTCTAGAAATTAGGTGTTAAACCTAAAACATCTTATAAATTTATATAACAAAAATAAATGTTTACATTTTAATTTTAGATTACCTTAGCGTAGCAGTTCACTTAGGAAATCTCACACTGTTGGTGTGGCAGCAGGGGTCATCAGAAATACACATTCAAGTCCACAGCCCTTCAGAGACGGACGCCATGGCTGCCGTCCAAATATGTGGTCTGTGTCCCAACATAGAGATTAAGGCTGTTTCAGAGGAATGAACTCTAGGCTAAAACAAGTATAGAAGTACCACAATATTCATTGAAAATACTGAAAAGGCTCTGAAGAGTTTCATATACTGGGGGAGAGGCGTGTGGGGAGGGAACCGCTTTGACTAGAAAAATAAAATAAAGCATCTAAAAATGACTTCAAGTACTTTGGGAGAGGCTGCTGATGTGGAGTGCCCAAATCAGGAGGAAGGAAGGTCTAAGAAGCTTGGGGGGGCGGGGGGTCCTGCCCAGTCCTGCCCACCTGCAGGGTCCTTTTTTTCCCAGGTGCGGCTCTTGGAAGAGGACTGGGGAGCTGCCAGTAACGAGCAACCACAGTTTCTTACCATCTTAAAACACTGAAGTTGAAGGCAAAGGCCAAGCCTTGTGGGAGAATTTTCTTGGAATGAACCATTAGAAGCTGGAAGATTTCAAGGGGGAAGAAAGCCATACATTTAAATGTGAGGAGCAGATAGAAAAAAAAAAAAAGGAAGAAAGGCAGAAAAACCTGGCTCTTGTGAATGGCAGTATGTCAGGCAGTGGAGTCGCGGTTCTTGATGAATGCAGTTCTTCCTTGCAGCTCGGCTTTCCTCACTCACAGGGTGAAACCATGGACAGCTGGGATCTTTCCAGAGGGTGAGAGTGCACAAGGGAGATGTGCTTGGGTGTGCCAGTGCCCCCTGGCAAGCAGGGGCACAGTCGGGTGCAGTCAGGTACGTACCTCACTGTTTCCAACCCCGGGAAACAGTCTCTACATCTTCAATTGTGGTCGGATTACTAGAGCAGCATATAAAGTAGGCGTTGATGTTGCTTCTTGTCTTCCACAGAAGAAATGCCCCCCCCCCCCCCCCCCCCCCCCCCCCCCCAGCCGGCCAATCATATGTTGTGTGGGCTTGTCTTCTGGGTTGCTAGAGCCTGGTGATATCTCTGCATTGCTGCAAGTCCCCAATGCTCTCATAGTCATTCTCTTTTGGGAAAAGGCCACGTTGGCCGTGGGTCTCTGGGGTGGCCTTGTCTTCCTCTCTGTTTAGAGTTTGTATTGCTTCGTAATCGGGCTCGGGCTCCTCACTGGGTCTTACTGCTGGTGGAAGTGTGCTGACGCTGTTTGGACTTTTCTCCAAGTCTTTAACAGTAGCGTAGAGATCATTACAGGAAGAGGGGGATCTCTGAGTGGCTCTTTGGATGGAGGTGTAGCTGGACTCTGGAGCTTTGAGAGACTGTCCTGATTTACTCCCTGACTGTCCAGGTTTATTTACTGATGAATACATGGCTGAGATCTAGAAAACAAAGGGTGAATTAAATAAGCTTCAAGTTTGACTTCTCCCTCCCCCTTTATAATGACAAGCTAGATATTTAGCTCTATAGGCAGGTGTGTGTCCCTTTAAGGTTGTGGGGGTTTTTTTGTTTGTTTTGCCAATTCCCCCCCACCCCAGCTTTATTGAGAAATCACTGACATATGCCTTATGTAAGTTAAAGGTGTACAACATGGTTATGTGACACATATATATACTGTGAAGTGATTACCGCCAAGGTCAGTTAACTCCTTCATTGCCATAATTACCATTTTTTTGTGTGTGTGGTGATAACATTTAAGATCTACCCTTTCAACTTTCAAGAATGATAGTATACTACTTTTAATTATAGTCACTATGCTCTATATTAGAGCCCCAGAACTTATTCAGCTTATAGCTGGGAGTTTGTACCCTTTGACCAACATGTCCCCATCTCCCCTACTCCCCAAACCCTGGCAACACCATTCTATTTGCTATTTCTGAGTTTGGCTTTTTTAGATTCCACATGTAGGTGAGAACATATAGTATTTGTATTTCTCTGTGTGACTTATTTCACTTAGCATAATGCTCTCAAGGTCTAGCCAAGTCGTCACAAAAGGCAGAATTCCCTTCTTTTTCATGACTGAATAATATTCCTGTGTGTGTGTGTGTGTGTGTGTGTACACATGTATTTCTGTATACAAATGTGTATTTATAACGTGTGTGCATCTATGTCTATCTCACATTTTCTTTGTCCATTCATCGGCTGACAAACACTTAGGTTGTTTCCATGTCTTGGCTATTATGAATAATGCTGCAAAGAACATGAGGGTGAAGATATTGTCTTCAAGACAGTGATTTCATTTCCTTCAGATATAAACACAGAAGTGGATTCTTTGTTGCCTGTACTAATCCTGGAGTATACTTCTGGAGAACAGTTATATATGGTATCTTCAACTTTGCAAGTAGACCAGCCATATTGGCACAACTCCGTGAAAACCAGGCTCTCTCTGGGTCTTCTGAGGGGCGTGAGGAGAGCAGGTGGAACAGGAAGTTCAAGAGGCCCCCGGGACCTGACTACAGTATATCATGTTTTATCCGATTTCTATTATCAGAATGCTATTTCACCTGAAAAAGAGCTCTGCTGCTTTAAGAAACAAGGGCAGAAAATATGTTAGATGAATGGTTCGCAAAATGTGGGCTTCGAACTGGCAGCAGCAGGATCTGGGAATTTATTAGAAAGGTTAAGTCCTCAGGCTCCATCCCAGAAGTATTGAATCAGAAACTCAGGGGCATGGGGCCCAGCATGCCCACTAAAGTGTGAGAACCACCGAATTAGACTCTCTGACCCACTCTTTCTGCATCAAAGTGGTCTGAAAAGTAGGTCCTGGATTCTTGTTGGCAATACACATAGATCTGTAAAAGCCTCATTTTCCATTAGTTTTCAACTTCATTGCATATTACTGGTTAAATAGACATTTACAGACAGGGCTAAGTTTTCTTCAGTGGGAAAAATTTATTCTTATTTGCAACCAGCCAACTCAGAAATGAAATTTGGAGACAATTAACTTACAGGGCACTCTTTCCTATGGGAAGAGTGGGCTACTTTCCAGGCACACCTACTCAGTCTTGCTAATATACCCCATATAACCTCTACTATCAAGAGGGATTTAATTCTCATTGGTAATGATAGATTAAACATACTGATTAAGAGATTTTTAAAGAGATCTTTTTGAGGGTTATTATTTTATTGTTAGAAATCATGGTTGGAAATAAGCAGAAATATCCTTCATTACCTCTGTCTTGGCCATAATGACTGATTGATTCAAAACACCCAGGAAATACATGAACATGCCTCCTGACAGATGCTTGGCTTCCCAAGTGCGGAGAGAGATTCTCTTGCTTTCACATATCTCACATACTGTGGATGAAGTTTCCAGCTGGCCTCAAAAGCTTCTCAAGACAGGCCTGCCGCACACACGCTAACTGGTCATTTGCATGAGAACTTTCCACTGCAGCCTGGGGGCTCTGTTTTGCCAGGTCTTGACAATCCAAACATTCGGAGCTAAAGAAATAATCTCTGGAAACTCTTGCCATGTTGCTCTGACCCTTTTAATACTAGGGTATTAATATTAGGAATTATTAAATTGACATTCTCACCTTAGAGATTTTAGTGGAAAAATTACTCTTGAAGATTTAGAATTTCTTTGAAATTAGGAAGAATTAAAGTAAATCATCTGCTTTTCCTAGTAAGGTGCAAACATATGGAACTGAATATCTAAAAGGTGGTCCAAATAGATGGTGGTAAATCATAGACGACAGTGAAAAGGGGAGTCAGCATACTAGCTACACACTCTTCACCTTCAGGGGGAACGTCAAGGACAAACACACCTTTACCTACCTTGTAACAATGGGGGTTGGCACCTTTCAGCTTCTCTCCTCAACTCTCTTCCCCACAATGCCTGCCATTAATGCCCCTACTCTTTATAATTACTTGGGTTTTCTTGGCCTTTATATTCTTTTTAGAAAGTTACAGGCTCTTTTCATTAACTTGCAACTTCATATTATCTCTGGGCAGGAACCTACTGTGCAGATGATGTCGTAAATTTTAACACTTAGAAGATTCCCAAGTCTTCCGATGTTCTGTTTGAGTATTTGCCTTCTAGGACTATTACTTCTATTTTGTAGATAGGTTCCTTTCAAGCCCCCTTGCTATTTAGCTTCACAATTTTTCTCTTTTAAATCTTTCATCTTTATTATTCAGGCTGTAAATTGTTACTATGTTCTCATAAATTACTCTCTACCTTTTCCCCATTTCTCTTTCTATAAGCAACCCTTTCCCCATCATTCTGCTAAATTGGGATAATAGTACTGAAAACTCAGATCTCAGTTTCCAGTCTGGACTAACATTCTATTACATAAATACAGAAATAAGTGACTTCCATAATTATTTTTTCTAAAACATCTTCCTAAAATGACTATATGTGAATCACAGTTCTTTTAATCTATGTTAAAAATTCATCAGTATACCTAAGTCCTATTTTCTGAAACCACAAACAATGTAAGATTAGAAGAAAAGGAATTTAAAATTTTACTTGTCTCAACATATTTTAAAGGACTGGTTTCCGGATCTCTCATATAGTCTACTCTCTCGTCCCAGGTGGGAGGGCTGTGGTGCAGTGTGGACGACAGACGTCTGAGAGAAGGCAAAGGAGCGGCCACAGGCCTGGCAGGAAGGTGCACTGCCTTAGTCTGGGGAGGGGCGCGCACTGTGCCCACGGAGAGAGCGAGAGAAACCAGGGGAGCTGCGGACAGTGAGGAAATGGGGTGTTTAGGATGATGTCCAGGGTTCTGGCTTGTGCGACCAGGTGGCTAGATGGCAGGTCCATTCCTCGGGGCAGGAAACACAGAAGCAAGTGGGCAACATTACCTACGCAAAGCTCTTCTGCTCTTTGAACTTCCAATGTGGGATTGCAGTCTATTTTCTATTTTAATACTCCATGCAAAGTGCAATAGGAGGGGACGTACCTGCATATGTATGTCATTTTTGTACACGTACCAAATTTATCATGCTAGGAATTCCAGACAGAAGCTATATGCAGCTAGATAAATGAAGGTGTTCAGCTCTCTGAGCCTAGCTTGATACTACGTGTGTGTGTATATACATGTGTGTATATACTGGATTGTATAAGTTTAACGCGTCACTGAGAAATCTAACCGGTGGGGGCGGAGCAAGATGGAGGAGGAGTAGGGGACGTGGATTTCGTCTGGTCTCAGGAATCCAGCTGAATAGGGATCAAACCATTCTGAACACCTACGAACTCAACAGGAGATCGAAGAGAAGAATAACAACAACTCTCTGAACAGAAATGTGACCACTTTCTGGAAGGTAGGACGTGCGGAGAAGTGAATCTGAGACGATATTCGGAAGGATAGATGGCGGGGGAGGGGGCCTCCGTCGGCCGCTTCTGGCAAGTGATAGAGCCGCGGAGCACAAAATCCGAACTTTGAAAAGTCGGCTCCGCTGAGGGACGTCACTCGAGTGGCTAAGCTGGGGGTGGAACCTTCGTGGGAGAGTGTGGTCTCAGGACCCTCGGGGTCACAGAAAGACTGGGGGTGCCTGAGTGTGGCAGAGCTCCCAGCTATCAGAGCAGGGAAGCCGGCGGCAGAGACGGAGCCGAGGCGCGGGCTCTCAGCTCGGGGTGGCCATAAACTGTGATCCGCGGCACAGTCGGGCCACTGCTCCTCCAGCAGGGACCCAACAAGCGGCAGAGCCGGGGAGACTCCCCTTCCTCCCCCAGGAGGAGTGGCGCGGAAGTGCACGGCAGGGATCTGCTGGGTTTGGAGACTCCACACGGGGTCGGGAGCCAGAGATAGAAAAGCTCGGTCACGGGCCGGGTGAGCACGGAGTGCGGCCGGAGACCAGAGAGACGGGAGTGACTGCTTTTCTCTGGGGGTGCACTGAGCAGCGGGGCCCCGAGTTCTCAGCTCCTCTGGGTGGAGATTGGGAGGCCACCATTTTCATGCTGGTCCTCCAAAGCTGTACCGAGAGCTTGCAGGGAACAAAAGCTCCTGAGAGCAAACCCGAGCAGACTGCTTACCCCGGACTCACAAGAGCGGGGCAATTCCGCCTCCAGCAAAGAAATTTGGGAACCACAGCAACAGGCCCCTCCCCCAGAAGACCAGCAAGAACAGCCTGCAAGCCAAGACCAAGTTTACCGATCAAGGAGAACGGGAGAACACCAGCGCTAGGGGAATACTGCACATAGAATTCATGGCTTTTTTTACCATGAGTCATTAGTTTTTCAAAGTTAATTTTTTTTAACCG